ATAGTAACTGACAAAATGCTACACGAGCATTAACACTTCGCATTGATAACTCTACTGCACACATTATCTGCAATCAAACAGATGTCATTTAATAGTAATAAAATACCGTCCTTTCCAGCTACTTCGCAAAACATATCTTCAAAATATCTATTTAAGAAAGAAATTCCTGGAAAGAAAAACAAAATTATCACCTTCCTAGCATCCGATAATTTGAAATCAAATATATGATGTAAACAGCTGCCAAGAACTTGTAAACGTCTGGATACTGCTCCCATATGTTCCTCTCTAGCAATAATCCAGGGCGTAGCTTGAACACGACGTGGACATAATACAGGTGCGATGTTATTTGAGGTTGTTTTCAGCTTACATTTGATTGACTGTGATACCTTAAATAATACATGAATATATGCAAAAAAAAGAATTCTAAATAGAGAAAATTTACTCAGGCCAAATGATTAAGCATTTGATCAGCATGGATTCTATTTCAAATTAGAACCCTGATAAAGATTCTGATTGTGAGAAAACATTTAAATAATACTAACCAAATCATTATTAAGAAGACGTAATTTTGTAGATGAAAATGGAACTGTAAATCGCTGCTGAGTTACAAATGGAGTGACTGAAAACGGAATTTCTTGCCTTTCCTGGAAAAAAATCAATAAAAAATGTAATGTAAAATGCTTAAATTTAAGTACATAAGTAATGCACCGAAAACCATGAATACTAGGAACGACAGTAAGTGGGATAACAATGAAGAAAAAGAGTACATTCTCAAGTAATTTCTCAGCAATCTCAATGATGTTTTCTATACTGGTTGTTCGCGAAGCTAACTGACCATTTGATTGTTCGCTAATCTGAGCAACAAGCTGCAAAATTAATAACATATTTTATATGATGCCGTGTAAAATCCAAATTTACTGCAGAACAACCCATTTAATTCCAAATTCCATTTCTTGATGATACACTGTTTCTGAAAATTCTTACATATTACAAAATAACTCACTTCGTCGAATAAGTCGCAAATTCGAAAAGGTAACCCGCGTTCGGATATGAAAGACTGAAAAAGCAGGCTGTCAAGAAAAGCACGAATAAGTGGACAGGAAGAAAATTGTCGTAAACCCAAAAATGCAGATTTGTGAAAGACGATTAATGGCGACGTATAAACACGAATAACTTCCAAGCAGCATCGATATCCCACTAACAGATCCGCAAAGAAACGAAGAAAACATGCTCGAATTCTTTTATCCTAAAATACTGCAAATCAATCTAGCTGAATAAAAAAGACAACACAGATCAAAACGAGTAAAATAAAAAAAAAGTAGATGACCTGTACTTCATAAGCAGGAAATGGTGGTTGCCCAACTTTCCATGCATAATCTGCAGTAGCTAGACCGGGAAATAGTACCTATAACATCTATGAATCCATAGCATTCTTATAAATGTTTATAACTATCACGCTAGCCTTTTTTTTAAAAAAAAATTTCATATTTATTTTCGAAAAATATGCAAACCATCTGCAATGAGGAAGTGAGTTGCTGATGAAATGGTTGAGGAATAATAGGTATTGTAATTGAAGGGGGCACGTAAACAGCACCAACATCTAGATCCACTACAACTGCATCTAAATCAGTACACCGTATACGAACAGTATTTAGCACACCCATGATGTATGGAGTTGGGCTTTCTAGATATTCAATGAGTAATTCAGGCAATACAGGAACATAAGTATGCCTGAAATTGTACAATAAATGTAACAAATAATGCAAAACTGTTATTCACAAACTCGATAATTATCTTTTGAACAAGTTGTTTGAATAAGAGAGCACAGTTCTCTTATTCAAGCAATTAAAACACAAAAAGGAACTAATTTTTTTCACGATTACAACTAAGCACAATATAGAGTTAACTCACGGATAATCAAAAGGATATAGCAGCGAACGCAAAGCGTAGCAGCTATCAGCAAGCAGAGAAAGCGAACTTGATCGAAACAATATCTTATAATCAGTCATGACAGCACAAAGCAAAGTTAGAATATTGTGGATTGTTCCTAAATCAGAAACTATTCAAAATTATAATACAATATGCATAAATCAAAGATCATAAATACTTTTTTCTCAATAAATCCTTTCAAAATATTGCCAAATAAAATCAGACAAACCTAACTGCTGCAGAAATAGCGTCACTTTGTCAGATGTGACGGGTATTGTTGGCGATTTGGGAGCTCGTACGGAAAGTCGATCACTCCCTAAGCAAAATGATACCGCAGGCATACCCGGTGTCAGATAAACCTGAGAGAGAAGTGTTGAAATCATCAATTCCGCTTTATCTTCTGCTTCCAATAAAGCCAAGAGGATCTGATTTAAGCAGTTCTGAAACATATTATTAAATGATCTAAAAATTCGGGAGCTGCTCACCTGTCTAATTAAATTATTAAAACATTTCGGAAATATACGAGTCAAATTTCTTATAATTGAAAAAAAAAAAAAAAAAAAGGCATTACTCTGAATAAATCGAAAAAAGGGAAACGCGATAATATCACTATAACTTTCGGTTTGAATAGGCTTGGTCCTTCATCAGATCTCGTATCATCTACCTCTTCGATGTCATCTCCACAAGGTTCGTAAACCTAAAAAGTTGATTTTTTTTTTAACATAAAGACTTTTATGCTCTGATCAAAACCATCTACTATAAAACTTGATTAATATGATAAAAACAATAATATATCTGCATGGTAACCAGCATTGACAAACATATGTCACACGAGCTCCAAATAAGCCGAAAATTTAATTTATAGTGTTAACTAGTAAATAAAATAACTACTAACAGCTTAACTTACCGGTGAATAATACAGCATCTCCCCAAGAAATGACTACTATGGAAGATGCTAACACCCTAAATTCATTCCATAACAGCAAGCATATGAAGGCTAATTATTTTGAGCATAAAAATAATAAAATTTTTAAATAGAAAAACCAGGACAAAAATAAATGAAAGTGGAAAAATTGAAAATATAACCTGTAGACAGCAAGCGTATTGTCTGGCACCCATAATATCCGTCAATGTATTTGTGAAGAAGCAAACAGGACGCGTTTCCGCCGAAAGAGCCCAACCTTGTGGCTGAGAAAACTGAAATCAGAAATTATTTGAAATCATAATCTCTAATTAAACTAACTTAAATCTAAAATAATTAACTACTGGAAAATCCTTCTCTCTTCTATCCTCTTTACTCTTAACAAGAAGAGAAGTATATGGAGTCCATTATAATCCAGAATGACCCGATTTCCGAATAAAAATTCACAACATACCACTTCAAGGCTTGGTGATAATGATATATCTGACCAATCATATTTTGGGAAGCGTTGTACAATATTCCCAACACTGCTCCCGTGTCCTGAAATAGTGGTTTTAGCAAAAATTTCCTTTTTAAATTTTTTTTTCGAATACAAGAGATCTTAAGTCTTAAGTTAACGTTGTAATTTAAATCTCTGGAATAAATATAGATGAGTAGAACCAATGATATACATTTAGTAATAAAACTAACGGATTTGAGTTTCATCAAATTCGATGATGACAACGTAATCTACAAGACGGGTACTTGTTTCTTCATATTCCGACATTACAGTGAGTCCAGGCAGCACACTGATCCTGGATAGAATTATTGGATGTTTTCAGAAAAAGAGTAATCAATTGGATTTTTTTTAAAATTAATACAGCAAAAATCTCTTTGATTTATAAAGTTAGAGATTATAAAAGAAAAATTTCTGCTGTTTAGAGAAAAAAAGGTGAAACCACAAAATCGAACAATAATCTTAGCAATAATTAAAAAACAAAAAGTAAACATACTTCGAAGCAAAAATTTAATGTCGAAACTTTTGACATTTCATGTTGAAGTTTGTAACTTGCTGAATGATGTCATAAAATTCCAATTTAGCAAATAGCTAGGAGAAAACTCAATTTGAATCCAATTTTACACATTAAAAGATGTACATGGTTAAACAAAAACCGGAAATACAACACATAGCATTTAATGTCCATTATATAGTTCTATTTATTAATCACACTTTTACATTTACATGCTTTTCAAACTATTCCTATTATTTTTTAATTCCTCTAATTTATTTACTCTTTAATTAAAAATAGGTTTTTTTTCTTCAAGAAAAAGAAAAGCTACTTTTAAAATTTTATGCATATCTTATATTGCACCATCCACAATTTGACACATTTATGTTTTTTCAATTTCTATGTTTAATTGAAATAATAAAAAACTTGTATCATCTAAATATCAAAAAGAAAAACAAGAAATTTTGAACATCGGAAACCGAAAATAGTGGAATTCCGCATCAATGGTAAAAGATACTGTCGGGCAGCTGTTATAGATTGGTGGTTGGTTTAATATTAAGATGCGTGCTAAATTTACTATGAAGAAAAAGTGAGAGATGAATGAATTGTGGGGGCATTACAGATTTGAAGGAGGATTAGAGATAGATGGAATTGCGATATTTAATAATTATGGTACTGAGAAAGAGATTGATAAGATTTTTAGAGAGCATATAGACAGGAGATTGAAGAAGAAAGTTTCAATAGAGAATGGTGAGAGAAATGAGTGTCATTTAGAAAATTTGTTATACAACTGATGAAGTTATTTGTTAAAATTTATATTAAGCATAAGTAGTCAGATAAAGCTTGATTTTTAATTGTATTAATCTAAAATTAAAATTTCAACCGTTTTTCCATACCGTTCATAGCATCTGTAACTTGTTGCCTCATTCTATTTATATGAAAAATTTTAATGGATTAAAATTAGTTAAAATTTGAATGTGGAAAATTGATATAGTAATTTGAATTTGTTCTTTTATAAAATGTTTTTATTATTATCACTTAATTAGCTTTTATTTCCAAATATTACTAAGATAAACAAAAATAATGAAATTATGGAGCAAAAATCGAACATAAATCCATTTTCTCCATTTAAATTTTTCATTTTCAGAACATAAAATGAAATGCATGGAGTTACGCTTTTAGTATTACTGCTATTTTCTGCATTAGCAACGGAAGAATCAAATTTGCTCGATAGCTTACATTTACCAGAAGAGCATATTCGATATTGGGTAAATCGTGATAATGCAGTGCGAAATTTATGCTTCAAAAATGAAATTTGTCGTTTAAAGGTTACTATTGTCTGTTTGTTTTTAAATAAATTTTTCAAATCTTTTTTTCCAGCAATTCTAAAAAAAAAAAGGTATTTCTAGCAATGGTAATTCATTATTAAATTAAAATCGATTCACTAAAATTGTTTTTTTTTTTCGTCCCATATGGTTCATATTATTTTGTTTTACATGAATCCATTTAATTGCGTTTCTCCAGTAAAATCTAAACTAATTATTAGCGATTAGATTATATTCTTTCCAAGTTTTTGTCCTTTTTAAAATAATGAATGCTATAAAAAGTGGTATCACATACGAATACAATTTCAGCATACAATAAACAACAAACATTGTTGGGGTTATGAGTCAAATTGTGAACCAGAAAACAGTTATTCTGCGCAAAAAACAAAATGCACAAAGTCAAACAGTTGGTTAGTTTCAAAATTTGTAGAGTTATTACTTCATATATATTTATAGACAAAAATATCAACTTTTTTTCTTCACCCTTCATTTTCATATCTGTATTTGTTGTATTCTGATAATTATTGTTTTGTATTCTTTATCGTATTTTAACTAGAAACAGGGTAATTTTTGTAATTGTATTTTAATAGTAAGATATTCCTCATTATCTAATTTTAGTATGCTTTTTTTTCTTCCATTTCCAACCATTCTTACTTTAAGATGCATACTGCGAGGGCAAAGTTTTGTTTATTGTTTGATTTTTATTTTGACCATTACTACTCCTTTTTTCTTAGTATAACTTATCATGATTTAGAGTTTCTTATTTTTAACTGTATAAATGTAAATGAAACAATATTTAACGACGAAACTGTCACTAAAAGTAAACATTTTTATTCAGGTTTCAATAAAGTATATAAAAAGCCGAAGGATATCAGTCAAATTTAATTATGCATTTACACTGATATTTTAGGGGCAGAAGCAGTACCGAATCAAAGTTAGAGACATTTCAAAATCAAGGTGATTTTCGGAAATTAGCACAAACATTTCACACTATCGAGCCAATTTGCATTTCAAATAATACTGTATGTATTCGCTATCTAAATATTTTTTATTTGGTTTCCCAATTATAATTATTTCAGGTGCAAATCATTCTTTAAACTGAAATTTCTTGCATTGATTCCGAAAAATTTAGTCAGTTTATTTACAGGAAGGTAGTTTTCTGGAATGTTCCAGTCATTTAAGATTCTGTTATGCAAGAAACATTTTCTTTGATTTCAAAAGTTTGAATTCGAAAACTTCGAAGAGGTGAATGATGTCATAATTTGGTTATTTCTGCAATATTTTAAATGAATTTAGAATTCATTAAAGTTATTGTTTGTGATTGCAACTCGTTCACAACAATTATTTTCTACAAAAAAACCTTGAATTTAAGGTACCGAAATGATGTGATCCGGAAGGGACAAGTTGGTGGAAACTGTAATGTACTGTTTGACGAGAAATTGCTACATAGCAGAGCGGATGAAAAGAGTTATTTGCAAAGTTGGTAAGTAATTGGTTTGCAGAAACTGAGGATGATGTTTTTCAGCGAAGTTCTTCCTCTAACATTATTAAATTTTCTCTTTAATCGACTACTATGTGACCTTTTTTAAAGGGTATTTCTTTCTTTTCCAGTACTTTGACTATGTTTTGATACTACTCTAATCATTTTGGATGGAACTGTAATTAATGTTAACCATTCTAGGGCTCATGAATTAGAGTATTTTAAATCGTACCGTGATTTTCGGATTTCGGAACATCGATGTGATGTAGTTTTTGATAAGCCAACAGTGCTAATTAAATTGGATGCATCAGTAAATATGTATCATCATTTCTGTGATTTTATCAATCTGTATGCTAGCCAACATATTAATGGTTCTGTTGATATGGATATCGATATCCTTTGGTGGGATACGGTTGGTTTTGTCATTCGATTAACAAATTTTGCTGATTATTCTTCTTTTGTATTAGCTATGTTAATCGAAGATTGAAAGTTACTCTTTCTGCTTCATTTAAATAGCGAAATTATAAAATTTGATCTATAACCGATCAAGTGACAGGTTCATGCTGAAATAAAAACTGATCCAGCTTGAGCTCAAAAAATTTAACAAAGTAATGGTTTACTATAGTCTTTTTTATGACATATTTTTAGTGGTTTAATGGCTTTGTTGATCCCACATTTGGAGCTACTTGGCGTGCTTTCACAGTGAACACACCTCATGAATTGATTGACCTGGATGGGAAAATGGTCTGTTTCCGGAATGCCATGTTTTCAATGCTTGCTAGACAGCGATTCGGTCTCTATTATAATATGCCATTAGTAAGTTTTTTTTTTAAAATAAATTTTTGTGGCTTTTTTGCAGAAGTTTGTAAACAAAATGTGAATAAAATACTAAAGAGTAGCTTATTTTAATAATGTAAAATATATGAAAGTGGTGATTTTTCAACTTAAAATGACCGAATTTGTTGACTTGGTTCTAGAGTACTTTTATAGGCCAAAATTCCATCAAGAGATTATGACTGAGTGACAGGGGAGAGGGAAAAAACTATTCTTGTTTGATTTATTTTGAATCCAATTGGATTTCTTTTGTCTTAGATACTTTGATTAAAGCTTATTGCTTTTTAGCTAAAAAAAAAAAAAAAAAAAAAAAGACATTTAATTGTTCAGTTTTTCTAACCTTATTTGTTGATTATGTTCCATAAATGTAGTTAGTATCATTTATACTCTTTCCATTTTTTAGTTACACTGCCTCAAGTACTTTTTATCTCACATTATAGACGCCAGGCAAACTCTATCATAATTGAAACCATAAAATGTCCTTAATATTTTGATGCATAAACCGTTATCTCATTAATTATCAGTCGATAATTAACAGAGCCGGGTATTTATCAATTTGTTAATAATAAACTTGTTGGAAATAGTAAAACTCGAGTTTTCAAAATTTAAATATTTGGAAAATTGTTTTTCGATTGATGGCTGTGAAGGAAGTGGCCTCATTCATGCATTTTCTCGGCATATTCTTCATCGTTTGATGATTCGACAAAATGGACCATTATTAAATAAGATTCGCGTAACGCTATTATCAAGGAGTACTCCATTCAGGAAAATAATTAACGAAGATGAGGTAAGTCAATAATTATGAATTATTTATTACTTCTTTTTAGCTGTTTATTTTGAATGTGATTAGGTTAAATATATTTATTTATTTTGTAAAAATATCTGAAGGAGAATATTTATGTATCCACTTTGTTAAGCTCATAAGCTATCTTTGTTGCTTTGGTTACCACCGCTTGTTTGTACACCAACGGATGCATTTTCGATTTCACTTTCATCAAATGTTTCTACTTGTTTCAATTCAATTGGAACGAGCACTGTCTGAAAATTTATTTTTTACTCAATTATGTTAATTCTTTGGTTCGTCTTTCAAAATTCAAAAATTTTTCATATATTGAAAAGTTTTTTTTTTTTTTTTTTTCAATTTTTAGCGTTTTTTACTTACACATGTTTTTTATACAATAAAGATAGTCAAAGAAATAAGCTATTTCCTTTTCGATCTTTTGAAAAAATTCTTTGACTGACCTGTTGTCCGATGAGAGGTTGCGTGAAAAAGTAGCCGCGTGTTATTCGATCACTTTGAATGTGCCGTAAATTCTTGAAAAGTATATTCAAAATTCCAGCGCAGCATAATGCGGAAAAAAAACAGATGCTTTTTTGAGCAAGAATATTTTTATTTGAAATGAAAATTTCGAATCATCGAATTATGAAATTTAATGTAGCTTATTAATGTTTCATTGCATTCCTTGCTTCATCCTAATCAGTAACTTTTCCTGTGTATATCTTAAAAATTACTGCTGGTTCTGGGATTTGTCAATCTTATCGCTTGAAACTTATGTGACATTTCGCTTGGAGCTTATGTAACATTAACGCTACTGGGTTGTCAGATCTTTTATTCATATAGTTTTAATTACAAAAAGAGTAATTTCTTTTTCTTTCGAAATATTTATCGGAATGTGTTACCTTGTATGGGAGAAAGTACCATGTGCAAACTGTACATAGCTACTCGTGTATTGGATACAATTCGATTAAGTTCTAGGAAATTTTCCTGAAAAGTGATCATAAATTTTAATGAACGAATGAGTGAATGAATGTTCACTTGTAATTTTAAAAAATACTTACTTTCTGCTCTTTTTTCTTTTTTGATAGATCAAGAATGCAATTTGTTCATGTAAATTTATTGAGCAAGCAGTAACCTCATAAAATGACCATCCTTGACCTCGTATTTGTTTATCTTCACCATAGATTAAGTATGCCGTCCAAATGAATACTGTCACGGCAACAATAAAGCTGATACTAGTAAATGCAATACAAAGCATCTAAAATATTCATTAATAAATAAGAAATAAAAATATAAAAACATTGATAATATTCGTATCACTTTTAAAAAGATGTAATGTTGATCTGTTTTTTTTTTTTTGATTTCTATCAGAACTATTTTGAAAATGAAAAATTTAGAAATCATAAATTTCTAAAGCAGTAAGGAAAATGCGATCATTAGATGATATGTGAAAAGATTTGGATGCTTATCTATCCACTACAAATCATACTTAAAGATTTGTTTTATTCAAATTGAAATTAGTAAATAATAATCATACAAAGAAAGGATAGAATTGCTTTTCTTCAACTATTTAATTTAATGTTTCCAAAATTTTTACACAAGTTTAATTTTTATTGCAAAATTTTCCAATTTTTACCAGAAATGTCCGTGTTGGCCTATATCTTATGAAACATAAAATAGTGGAAGCATTCAGCATAAATGCGAAACTTGCAATAACAGCCAGATAATACGGACAGCCATCATAAAAAACACATATTATACCAAAAATCATCTGTAAAATAATCAAATTAATAAAGAAATTGAAAGCTTAGTGGGATTTTTTTTCAAATTTAAATAAATGTCATTTACTAATTGAAGTGCTGCACCAAAAGCGACCAAAGTAAGAGTGAGTAATGTTCGTGCTTGCATTAGTATAACTTGGTTTGTAACCACTTGATCAATCTAAAATTTGAAATTTATGAAATCAATTTTTCCATAATTGTTTTATTTTTGTTATGTAGCATTTGGAATTTTTATTTTATTTTTTTATTTTATTAAAATTTCAGAAATTTCTAAATTTCAAAGTTTTCCACTATTAACTAATAAGAAATACCTTTTCAATACCAATTAGTTTAACAAGAAAATGATAAAAAATAATAACAAGCATACATGGAATGACGGCGAATTGACGGTTCCTTTGGACGTTGAACTTTCAATCATTTGATTTACATTGTGGATATTTGCAATTGTACGTACTGAAAATTTCATATGTAACAAAGGATTGTCATGAAACCATGATTGAAAAAAAAAAAAAAAGATAAATGAAATTTCATAAATCGAATTTTGTATTTTTTTATAAGAGAATTTCTTAGTTTTGTAATCACTTACATTTCCTATCTGTTTTGCAGATAAACTTCTGAAATAACAATAGTTTGCAATTTTATATCTAATAACTAATCTTTATTACTATCTTTAATTTTTAAATTCCTTAAAGAATTTCTCGATTTTTTTCCTTAATTTAAGGCATTTATGTGTTCGAGGGAAATTTGAAAAAATTTCACTATATACCTGTAGATTTTGTTGTTACAGTATCATCTGATTCTACCGTTGTAATGGAATCTGTATGATTCCGTTGAATTCCACAACCATCAATCAAGTGTTGTAGTCCATAGGTATCACGATAGTAAACAGTGGGCGGGAATGATCCAACTGGCTTAAAAAAAAAGAAACGAATTAATTAATTCTGAATTTTAGAAATTCGACAATTATGTTACTAAGTTTATTATTTACAAATATTAAATATTTTACTTTTGATTGTTATTAATGTGAGATTAAATATCCTTAAAATAGTGATTATATTTAATTGTGACTACCACAGGAGAATTTAATATTCAGGTACATGGATTACTGATTAGAATTTAATAATTAGAAAACATGAACGATATTAACGAACTAGACTGTTTGAAGAAGTCCTATAGGGAATTGGTGCAGCCATAATGATAGCATGCAAATGAATCTCGAAAATATATATCAGTTTAACGATAACCGATGGAATATGATATTATTATTATCAATTTCATCTCAAATTCATCGTTAATGCATTCGTTCGATACAAATTCATCCATTATTTGAAGCTGTAATCTTTTTTTTTTTTTTAATTTATGAATTAAATTGAAGTGATGAAAATGATAAATGAAAATTAATGATGTATAAGAATGAAATCTAAATCATTCATAGTGTCTAAAAATTAGAATGTAAGAAGTATCGTATTTTATTTAATATATTTACAGCAAATAAATTTAAAAAAAAAATGGAATAAAAAATAAAGGATAGATGAATAAGATATGAGCGCAATAAATGATAATATTCATGATATTAATAAAATGAGATTAATTTATGGTTAAATCAAAATCTAAATCTGCTTAATTTAAAATAAATACGAAATTGATGGAATTAATTGAAGAGAAAATAGATTGGAATTTTTAACATTATTCTCCTTAATTAATAATACTCTAAGCATAATACTATAAGCATATTAATTTAATTTTTAGTTAAAATTATTTCGCTAATTGATATATTAATTTTTTCTGTGTAGTTATACAAAATGAATAATTCATTAATAGCTATAGTAATTAAAAGAAAAATTTTAACAATACTTTTCAGTACTGATAAATGTTAACAATATATGTTTAGAAAAGAAAAAGAAAGAAAAAAAAACTTGATAGAATTATAGTGTGATTATTTGTTAAGGTGAAGAAAGTAAGATTGAAGAGGAATGAAGAAGTATGTAATGTTTGAAGTGAACAATTTATTGATGCATTTAAAGAATGAAATTGTTAAAATGGTTCAGTTAGTTAGCTAACACTGATTCACAATGATAAGATACACACACATACACACACAAATAAACAAAAAGATAGACAAACAGACGGATTTATCTATTGGCAGTTAAAGTCTATTATCACTCTTTATCCTATCATCCTTATCCATTCATTCATTCATTGATGATCGTTTTTCAAAAAAGATGTGATAGCACTTGAAATGATTATGTTAAGCGTTTTGAGCAGAAATTTTTGTTGCAATAGAAATGATGGGATTACTTTATGTTATAATTATATCATCTTAAAATGTGTTCTCTTTTCAGTATTTTTTCAGCTTTTTCTTTCCTTTTCATTCTAAGTAGTAATTAATATATGTTTTTTGATTGATCGATTTATTTGATTATTTAATTTTTCAAGTAAAAATATATAAATTTATACGAGAGAAATGAAATGTTATTTCAAAAAAAAAAACGAAAGATTAATAACTTATGTTATTTTTTCTTTTCTTGTCGCCTTACTTTATCTTTTTTCTTTCTGCTTGTTTGTTTGTTCTTTCTTTTGATACTGTCTGAAATTAAAAATTTTTGAGCCAGCATTTCAATTTTCAACTGATATATTCGTCCATCTCATCTACAATGATTATTTTCTTTTTCTTTTTTTTTTTTTTTTTTTTTTTTGTTTATTTTGAATTTTTGCCACTTGATATGATAGATGATATCAAGGCTATTTATATCCGCTATTCAAAAACAAAATTAATTGCAGTTAATTTATAACGATTTCGGTATATAATTAGATTATGCTAACTATGCATTCATTTTAATTTTTACTAATATTTATTTATTAAGTATCAATTAATTAATATTTATGTACTATTGCTGTATTATTTCAATTTTCATATTAAATTTACTTTTCTAAATTTAATAACTTATTATAATCGTTTTTTTTTTTTTTTTTTTTTCTTTCTTTTTTTCTTAAAAACATTATATAATTTTAGCTAATGGATGTTTTGAAGAGTATTCCGGATGTTATTGAAAGACAAATTGATTATAACAGGTTTCTGTTATTAATATTCTTTGTTTAATTCTTTAATTCTTTTTTATTTTGAATTTCAGTTTTTATAATTAATGTTGTTGAATTATTGTAGAAGCATTACATTTTTACAACAATTGGAAATAACACATAATAGTGATATATTCATTGGAATGCATGGTAGTGGTTTAACGCATTTGTTATTTTTACCGGATTGGGCTGTCATCTTCGAATTGTATGTTTTCGTTTCATATATGTTTTTTTTTTTTTTTTTTTTTGGATTGCTTATATGTCTTTAGTGAAGATTTTTTTCCGGTTTGGACTCTCATCTTGAAATTGCATGCTTCCGTTCATATATATATGTATTTTTAATATATTTCTAAATTGATTATATTTTAGCGAAGATTAATCATAAGTGATAAATGATTGATTTTGTTCAAAAATTTTGCTATATATGATAGACAAATAAGAAGTGGAAAAGAAGGGGGAGAGAGAGAAAGTGAAAGAGGGAGGACAGTAAAAGAGGGAATGAGGATGTTCAAAGTTAGATTTTATTTTTAATTTTTGTTTCCTTTTTTTCGGACTTGTTTTTGTTTCGTTTTTTTTTTTTTTGTCAAAACTTTTTTGCAAAAATTTAATGATTATTTACTATTTATTATAAAATTATATCATTTGTTAATTAGGAATAGACTGTATTAAGCAATTCAAGAGCTTTAATACTGATTTTGTATTTGTTTTCTTTGATTTTGATTTTAATTATTTATATTGTTTAATTTCTGTCCAATATTTTAAGGTACAATTGTGGTGATACGAATTGTTATTGGGATTTAGCACGTTTAAGAGGTGTTAAATATTTTACATGGACAAAAAGTGATAAAGTATTTCCAGTTGGTGACGGTATACATCCACAAACGGGTAAGCTACATCAAAAATTTCAGAATTATCGATTTGATCGGGATGAATTTCGAAGGCTTGTTCTGATGGTAAGCGTGATTTTTTATGTTTGTTTGTAGGTTGAATTTTTAGGAATTTCTCATCGTATCTTTTAGTGAAGTTGTAAATATATTAGCTTTAATTGAATTTGATTATTCATATATTTTAATTTGCAGGTATGAATTTAATAGATGAAATAATACAAATTAGAGATTTCAAATATTTTTTCATAATACTGATTATTATTTTTTGCTTGAATTTTTCAAATTTCTTGATTTTTTTCTTTTTTTTTTTTTTGCATGATAAAGCAACTTTTGTGTGAGCTATGTTTTAATCTTTGTTCATTTTAAACATTCAAAGTACAGTTCAAATTATATATTTTTTTTTAATGGTCATAGCTATGAATGAATTATAAAATTTGTTCCTTTGAAATTTATTAGTATTTTTCAAAATTTTTGCTAGTAATTATAGCAGTATTCATTATGGATAAGAAGTTTATGTAAAATTAAAATATTAAAAAAAATTTTATATGTCATAAAATCAGTTCAGTTTATTTAAGCAAGTGGAATATGTGCTAAGTCATCCAGCATATGTCATAGAATTACGGAAACAAAAACGAAAACAGCATAATGAAGAACTGTGAAGAATTGTTTATTTTGTTTATGCAAATTTTGAATATGGGCTTTTAATTGTAGATTTGATTTTTTTTATTCTGTATTTTTTTTTTTAATTTAATTCATTTATTATCATTTTAAGTTAGATTTCGTTATTTTATGTAAAATATTGCAGCAAATTTTAAGCTTATCGTACATTTGATAGAGAAAATAGCTAATGGGATTGTGTAAATTAGATTAGCCTGAAATGATTGATGAAATTAATTCAATTTGTGTTTAGATCGTTTTTATCAGTTTTTTTTATCTATTCATATAAAAATTATTGCATCTTTTAGTTTAAATCAGAATAACATTTTACCTTCCTCAGTTCTAGTTATTATTTGCTTTTTATTTCTATTACAAAATTTAATGATCGTCGAGGAGCATCATTCTGTCTCTTTTTTGTAGGAGAATGAAAGATATGGGTAAAATTAGAATTGTAATCATTTCAGAGCAAAATTATGTGACGAAAGTAGTTGCACCTTTTAGATGAAATTCTTTATGAAAATTGTTAATTAGCTTACTTTTTCATATCGTAAATGATATTCTTTCATATCGATTGGCTTTCATTTCCTTTTTTTTTTTGAAAAATTGTAAAATATATTTGTTACTTGTTTGAATTTGTTAAATTGTTTTCTTGTTATTATTGTTGTAATTGTCTGAACAAATACTTCATGTATTTCTTTTCATTTTCTCTGTTTTTTTCTTTTTTAAAGAAAATACAACCGATTAATAATTTGTTAAGTACCAAGAATTTTTTTATACCATCATTTATGATTAGTAAAATAATAATTATTATTGATATTGGATGACATCTTTTTACACTCATAATGACTGAATATTTTTATTAATCTTAGTATTACATTAGTTACTGCAAAATTTCGTATTATTATTTATTCATAATGATTAAATAATGTTAATTATCAATCATAAAAGAATCAATAATGATTATTAGTATTGCAATGATGAAGGAGAATGAAATGTTGAATTAAGTGATAGAATTATGACATTACTAATCAGTAAATCTTCAACATTTGTTATCTCTTTGATAAACGGAAATGCGTCATTAAATGCAATGAATAAACTACTAAACATCAGTGGGATGTGAGTGAATAGACACTGATGAATGATAATTTATTAAATTTATTAATTTAACAATATAATACAGTAAACAAATAGCAGTAATTGATATGTGAAAAGCACTAACTTTGTATTATGAAATTTCATAGTTTATTTAAATATTGAAAAAGAAAAAAACAAAAAAAAGGAGGGAAACAGAAATTTTAATTGTCAGGAAAGCGTATGGTAAAGTTTTTATTTATTTATTTTAATCAATCAGTTCCTAGCTATTTGTAAAAAAAAAAAGATAAATCAATAATCGGTGATAATAGGGGAACAATAATTTTGTTTTTACCGCTAAAGTACAATCGAAAGTATAACTTCAACAATTTTTCTATTTTTGGTTTTTAATTGAATAAAAAAAAAAATGAAAGAGAAGAAAAAGGGAGGGAGAGAAAGAAAAAGAAAAACGAAGAATAAGCAAAGGAAGGAAGAGAAAAATGATTGATAATCACTTTTCCAACTTTTTGTGCTAAAATCTGAAAATAATTTTTACATTACCAATTTGTAACAAAATATGGAAAGCATATTATTATACCTCTCTCTTCTTTCTTTTTATTTCTTATCCCACTTTTTCTTTTCTCATAATAATATCTGACAATGCAATTCATTAAATTAAAAATCAAAATTTTCTGTCATTTGTCTCATAATATATTAGTCAGTATGTCTTAAGTTATATACTTACAATTTTCTTCATAAATTTTTCGCTATGCTTAATAATTTTTAGTTAAAATAAATTTAAAATTTGTTATATCAAATGATGATTTCTTTATTATCAACTTTTTTATTGAATATAAGAGATAAGAAAATTTTAACATTCATTGCAATTTTGCGTAATAATAAAATTCAAATTAAAAAAACTAAAGACGTATAAGAGACGATAATAATAGGTGGGATAAATAAACAACGAAATTTTCAAATCATAATAACATAAATATCAAATATTTGTTTATTAGAACAAATTAATTAAACGGATTGATGTCATTAAGTCATTAACTAGTTGTCACTATTATCGTCATTATCATTACCAATTAAATTATCAATTATTATCAACTCAATACTCATTTGATAGCAGTGACGATGATGATAAAATATCTGGTGACTATTATTATCATTTACCATATAAAAAGTTTGTTATGCAAAATTTTTGAATTAATTTATGAATAAAATAATGAATTCAATAGTTACATTTGATTAAAATGTTAATTAAATTTTACCATTTAAAAGTGCAATGAGTGCTTATTGATCAGTGAATTATTTAAGAAATAAAATTCCAATATTGTCAGGTAATCATTTTATCATAAATGAATGATTAATTAAATTTTGTGATATTAACGATTTTTTTTCCTTTTAATATTATAATAATATTGGTTGCAAACATATGAGAAAAATTTCCTTTCTTCAAGTCATTTCGAAAATTAAAGTGAAAAAAAAAAAACCTATATGTGACCAAAGGTACAATAATGGTACAATAAATGACAAAATTTCCATATTAATGAAATGAAACAAAAATAGCAAATCATCGTAGAAACAAAAAAAAAAGCTAAATGAGAATTAAATTTTAATATTAACAATGAAGCTATGCTAAATACAATAAGTTTATTATAATTTATATAAATCATAATTTAAAAAAATTTTTTTTGTAAATTAAAATATTAAAAATGAACTTTTTTTTAATTCTTTTGCTCTCTCGTTATCATTTTATTTTTTAAAAGAATCATCGCATAACTGATGATGATTACATTTGAGCTGATTGGTGAATAGAAGAAGCAAGTACTTCGAAATGTCAACAACAATACGCTTTTAGCACAAATGCTTTAAAAAAAGAAAGAAAAGATAAAATCCGAAATCCATTGGGAGTAACGGATAATGTTTTCTTTACTTTAAGTAAAATTCAATTTTTTAATTTTCATTTCATTGCTGCAAAGCAAAATCGGCAATTGAAATATACTTTTTTTTTTAGCAATCCTTAAAAAATATAGTGTAGTTGTCTGATTTGTTATTTGAAATTAGTTTTTAGGAAGGCGATGAAGTGGCGATTGTGGTATGGAAGAAAATGGTAAAAATATCAACAAATTGTTGATATTTCGAATTCATTATTGTCGTTTTTCCTTATTCTTTTTTTAAAAACAAAACATTTTTTTGTTTAAGTTATAAGAATTTTACCAATTCGTAATTTAACATGTTATTCCAGATTTTATAACTTCAAATAATAGAAATGATGATGCACTGATAAAATTTAAATTATTATAAGATTAATATGGTGATTATTATTTCGTTTAATAGTGTTAAGTTTTTGATTACTAATTGCAATTCTTAATAGCACAATTTTTCTTTTTTTTGATTAATGTCTTTGAATGCAAACTATTTTATAATTAAACGCTTAATTATTTTCAATTAAATAGCAAAATTTAACATAAAAATATATCAATTATATGACATTCATATATAAATGTTATAATAATAATAACATTAATAATAATAATAAATAATAATAACAATAATAATAATAATTCCTTAAAAATAACAAAAAGAAAAATAAAAAATCCTTTTGCGAAAGAAATTAAAAGATTGTTACCATTATTATAATATTCCAATAGTCACTGGACGATTAATTTCCAAAATTTTAATTAAAAGAAAAAAGTAGCATTTTTCATATCATTTCTAATTTAACATTATTTTCTACAACTTCATTATTCTTCTAATTCAACTACATTTTATCATGGAATAAAAGTTAATTTAATATGAAATTCATTACATAACAATAGATATTTGCTAACAAAAAAATAAAACAAGTTAAAAAAAATTAAAAAAACGAAAGTTTTGTTATTGATGATGACAACATGTAAACCCAATTAATTAGGTTAAATTTATCATAAGCAAATCAGTTCGTCATTTGTGTCATTCTTTTCTTTCATTTCCATTTTTTTTCTCAAATCACATTCTATGGAAAATAGTTCATCCATTTAATTATATACATTTCCTTTTTGCAATCATTAAAAATTTTTTAGTTTTTACTTTTTGCAATTTTTGGCCAACCGTTCTTTGCATTATTAGCATTAGTGACAAATAACAGTTGCACTTTTAAAAATAAATGACCATCCCAAATTGTGATATTATCAAGAAATGATTAATTCATTTATTATTTAATAATGAAATTTTGAATAATAATAGAAGCTGTGAAAATTTTTGTTCTTATTTTGTTATTTATAATTCACTAATCTTCATGCAATTAAGTTGTAAATATTAACTTAGCAATTTGATCAAAAATTTTTGTTATTCAAAAAATAATTAAAAAATTAAGTTAACTTTCTTTTTTTGTCATTAGATATCACTTTTAAAAGGTTATTATTATTATTATTATTATTATTATTATTATTATTATTATTATTATTATTATTATTATTATTATTATCATTATCATTATTATTGTTATTACTATTAATGATCATTATTAATATTATTACTGCTACTATTATTATTTTATTATTATTTTTATCAGCAAAAGTAATTTTTATCTATAAAATGATAAATGTGACAAATAATTTTGCAGTGATAGTGGAAAAGAAATTTTAAACAAATTTAATTTTCCTTGTCTAATGTATGTTAATTAATAAAAAATTTGGAATTGCAATTAATTTAGAATATTCATTAAAAATAGAGTGAAAATAATTATGTTTAAAAGTTTGTTGACAAATGATCATTTCATTAATGATAGTGATTTACCATATATTATTAACTTGATGTTATTTTTTCTGGAACTTTGATATATTCTTTAACGATTAACAATTAGACCTCTTTATCTCGTGTTTACTTTCTCTTTTCTTTCCTTTTTTTATTATTCATTAATTTAAATTTAAATTCCCTTTCCAGTGGTTTTCATTTCTTCTTAAAAAATAATAGCATATTGCTAACATTTTTATAATATTAAGGTAAATATTATAAATTAGTAAATCTAAAATAAAATGGTTTCCTGTGTCAAAGTCCGGATTTAAAATTGTTTTTTATTATCTTGATATAATTTCAGGAGATTAATAACCACTGTGAATACATCACTTTGTTTGTTTGTTTGACCATTCAGTTGATTATTATCAAAAATGAAAACATTGAATATCACAATTATTATTCAAAAAGAAAAGAAAATGCAATAATTTTACTATCACTTACATTTTTTTAATCATAGATTTATTTTTGTTTGCCTTATTATTACTCTTCTTTTTCCTTATTTTAAATCACTTTTTATTTTCTGGTCTTTCAATTTTTTTTATTTCATATATAACTTATTATATTAGATTAAATTTGATAATGAAATGATCTAAACTACCACCTTTATTAACTAATTAACTCATTATATTTAATCTAGTAGCATTTTATACAATTAAAATTAGAAGCCACATAATTTATATTTTTGTTTATTTTCAAAAAAAAAAAAAAAAAAAATGGCAGTAAGCAAATATTTATGATTAAAGCAAATGAAACATGAATGGAAACTATGAAATTAAAAAAAAAAGACAAAGAAAAACAAATTTTTAATGAAATTTTAAAATAAAGATTTCATCTGTTAAATTTATCTCATCTCATATTTTATCCGAAAAACACAACGGACAAAATTATTCAGAATATTTTACTAGTATAAAAAAGTAATTATAATTGATAATACTTAAATTATATGCACATATATATATATATATATATTTATTTATTTATTTTCTACATTGGTTAATTAAGTTCTTGGTTTGATTTACTTATTTTACATGCACATTTATTCAGTTTTACACTAATTTTTTCATTTCATTTACATTATGCATTTAACTTTTTTTTTTCACCAAAAATTTTCTCTTTTTCTCCTTTCTCTATCACTTCATTTCTGCTTTTCACTTCGTAATCATTCCGTTAATCGATTATAATTTGAATAAATGAATGGGTGAAATTTTCATATATTCATTTATATTACTATTACTTCCTGGCACCATATTTCAAATTTCAGATTTATTCATTCATATTTTTTCTTAAAAGGGATACTTTCGTCAAGTGGCGTTTTACATAAGGCTAAATAACCATTTATATTAAAACTTTCTCTCTTTTTTTATTTAATTATTTAAGAAAAAGAAGCAAAAAAAAATTAATAAAAAATAGTGATTTGGAAGAAATGGAAAAAAATAAATTTAAAAAAAAAAATGTTCGATATAGTTTATTATATTTTAATACATTAAATCAATCAAAAACTACTCTTTTTATGAAATTCATATTTATGTAATTTTTTCATTGAAAAGAATTTGTAATTTTTCTATTGTTTGTGCTTTTTTTTTTTGTAAAAAAAAGTTGTTCTATTTTATACATTTAATGGAAATATGAAATTCATTTTTCATTTTCATTATATTAAATGATTCCTCATTTCCCCGCTCGCTACATTCGACAAGTAAATATTTTAGAAAAAAATTCAACAAATGTAATTTAACAAAAAATTTAACAAATATTTGAATCGAAAGATTTCATAAACTTACAATTTTTTGATAAGCAAAATGATTTGCACATGGATAAAAGAAGCTATATTTTAAGTATATATTCATTTTCAATCAGTTTACTAAAAAGTTTCACACTTAGAAAATGAAAAAAAAAAAATAAAAAATAATTAAGAATAAGCCTTTTCTTTCATCTCTTATTTTCTTTTTTTACATTAAAAAAAAATTTTTTTAATTTTGACACATATGTATATGTGTTATAATCGGTGCTAAATTCATTATTTTTTAAATTTTATTCTTACATATTTGTCTCTTTTTATTTTACTTTATTTTTTTATAAATTTTTATTCATTTACTCATTTTATAAAAAAAAAGGCAGTTTAATGCTATTAATTTCCCGTTTTTTTAAATTTATACTAAATTTATATTATATTTAATTTGGAAAAATAATTACCATTCCTTTTGTATCAATTTTTTCACAAACATTTCAGAAAAAAAGAAAAGAAACGAAGCCAAAAAAATTTTTCAAACAATAATTTCTTTTTTAATAAAACTATTAATTTAACGAATCATTCGCGACGTTTTAGAAAAATTATTGCTTAAAAGTCAAAGATACCGTGTGGAAATAAAATTCAATTGCTTCCTTAATTAATTTATCAATGTTAAATGGAAAAAGCAAAGGAGAAAAAAATAAAATCATCATTTTAATGTTTTTTTTTAAGCTTTACCAAATAATATTCATTCATCTAAATCTTGAAATTTTGATTATTTAATTATTCAATGATTAGTATTTAATATTTTCATATTATTATATTACACCAAAGATAACTGATGCTAATTAATAAATTAAAAAAATTGCTATCGAAATGAAGTGGAATTCAAAATTATAAATAAGGCGAAGAAAAATATCTATTCAAATATTTATTATTTTGCACGGTTTCGTCTTTCTTTCTTTTTCTTTTTTAAATATGAAATTACAAATTTTTTTTGAGCAAATATAATGAGATGCTTTTAAGGAAACAAATTTTGATTAAACAAAAATTTTATTTTAGTTTTTGTTACATTTGTTATTTTTATAAAAAGGATAGGGAAAAAAGTTTTTTTTTAAAAATTTTAAGAAATAGAAAAAAGCACACAGAGAGAGTTGAAATTTCACTTTTATTTAAAATAATATGAAAAAATAAAAAAAGGTTCGTGATTTTATTCAAAAAAAAAACAAGATAAAGAATTACAACAACGAAAAAAAGCAAAGCAAAATAAATGAAAAATTAAATGAATTTTCATTATATATAGTATAAGTTAGCAATTTATAATTGATTTTAAAAATTTAAACAACAATTTTACAACAAAATCGTTCGTTTTTTTTAAGTTTTATTTATTCTGAATTATTCATTTTTGTTAAATTTTTGCAGAATAAACATTTTCCAATAAAAATTCATAATCAGGCATATGATTATATCATTGATGTTTAACGATGATAATGAAATTGGATGATTTTAATTCATTTCCTTATTTGCATCATTTTATATTCTTCATTAATTTCAATTCACTCTCGAATTTTTTTTTTTTTTTTTTTGTTCTCTTTTGATAATTTACAGCAATACTGTTGCTGATTTATAAATATGATCGATGTATAAATGCAAGGGAAGGACACATGAAAGAGAGAAAAAAGAGGGAGAGAGAAGGAGATAGAGTTTAATTATTTTAGTAATTTTTTTTATAAATTCGTTTTTTTTAAAAAATAATTTCGATATTAAATATCTATAATATTTTATTGTTAATTTATACAAATATTATTAAAAATTTACAGATAATGTTCATAAGTCTAGATTCGATTAATATTTGGATAACAATAACAACACCAACAGTAACAGCAGCAGCAGTGGCAGCAACAACAAAAGCAGCACTGATATCAAAAACAATAAAGTTTAACAGTAGTTTGTTAAATGAAACATTCAATAATTATATCAGTAGGTTAAATTTTTTATTTTATTTTTTATAAAATACAGAAAGATTCTAATAAAAAATTTATATTTTTATTAAACTAAGAAGTTATTCTCGTTGTTTGTCGTTTTCTGTTTCATTTTTTCTTCGAAAAATAATGTACAGTTTTTTTAAAAATTTGGATATATTGATTTAGATTTAAGGTATTTTTGGTATGAAGTTTTGTTGCTATTAATTTTTGACATTTTTAAGTTTTTTTTTTTTTTTTTTCTGGGATAAAATATAATTTTGGTACACTGAAAATTAAAACGATGAAAATTTACTGCATTCCTTCTATTTTTATTTTTAATTAATTGTAGCAAATTAATGATTTCTCAAAAAAAGACAAGTGATGAAAGCAAAAAAAGAAATTTTTACTTCTGAAGTTAGATTTTTTCTTACATTCAAAATTAAATTTATAATTATTATTCATTCATCATTCTAATGAATCATTTCGCTCACTAAAAGAAAAGCAACATTATTTCCAAAAAAAAGTAAAATGAATTTTTTTAGTTTTTTGATTTTTTCTGAAAAGTACTAATGCTTTAGAAAAATGAAAAGGACGGATGTATTAAATTTTTCAAAAGTATTTTTTATAATATAAAATGTCAGCATTTTTATGAATTTTCCAATCAATCTGTTATAACTAAATCAAAATTAAAATATATGATTAAAACAAACTGAAAAATTAAAAGAACAAAATTAAAATAGAAAATTATTAGTGCAATTTTTTTCAGATACTGAAAATGATAATGAAGAATTAGTGCGAAAATTTATACGCTTAATTTTTAGTATATCCTATTTTCTTCTTTTTTTATTTGGAACAATTGGTAATGGGTAAATTTTTTTATTTTTTTAAGAAAGAAAAAAATTTTGTTTTTCAATTTCCTTTTTCCATTTTCCTTTTGGGTTATTCTTTTTAATTATTTTTTCACTCCATATTCATATATTTTTATTGTTTGATTTTTTTCGTTTCGTTTCTTAATTTTCGACAAAATATTAAAAACAAAAACAAAAAATGAAAGAAGAGAAAATTGTAGAATTTATTAATTTTAAAATAATATTACATTTAGACAAATTTTAAATGTTAAGAATTTAAGTGACATTTTTTTTGGTGAAAATTTATTAATTGAAGCAATAGTTTTTTTAATAAAGAAAACGTGAGATATATTAATCAATGAAAAATGGAAAGCAAATTGATTGGATATTATTATAAAGCTATTTGATACATGCATAAATCTATCTTTTAATTTTATTTAACTTTATTTGGATTTAAAATATAAAATAAAATAAATTAAATTTAAGTGAATAAAATATTTCAGGAGTGTTATTGTAATGATTGTTAATGTGTTAACAGCAACACGAAGAAAAGGTTTAAATTCAGTTCGAGTTAATCCAAGCAACACTTTACATGTTTTTATTTATATTTTGGGTAAGTTAAATAAATTATCAAATGAAAAAAACAGAAAAAATCTAATTTTGAAATTTTATTTGCACTATTTTTTTTACATTTGCATTTTAATTCATCAAATAATGACATTCGTTTTTTTTTTTTCAAGGTAGTAGAATAATTCTTAGCCAAACCTTTTAATAGTAACATTTTACAGCTCATTCAACTAAAATCAACATTTCAAATCTAAAAAAAAAAACACAGAAACAAAAAAAAAAAATTATTACATTTTATTTTCAACAAATTTTCATATATAATTTTAATGAATAGATAATTTTAAAAAATTTTTGAAATTTAGGAAATAAGGAATAATCAAAAGAGGGGAAAAAATAACATCAAAGATAAAAATTGTTTAATTATTTTTCCGCTAATTAAAATTTTCCGTATAAATAATGAAATTGATAAGAATAAAAGTAACAATATGTAAATTCACAATGGTTAATTATTCATTTTATTTGCTTCATTAATTAATTTATTCAACAAAATTTATCTTATCAATTTCATTGATTATTTGATAATTTACATGGTAAATGCATAAATTTTGTTCAAATATTTGATTTTTCAAAATAATTCGCTACAGTTTTTTGCACAATTCAATCAAACTAATCCATTATGGTTACGAGATATCAAAATTGATAATGAATGAGTGAAATGCTGATAATTTCAGTGTCAACAGATTGATCACCCTGAATAAAATTAAAAAGATCAATGAGTGAATAAGTGATTAATACGTTTTAATTGGTTTTAACTAGTTAAAACTTTGAAGAGAAACTAGCTTCAATTTAGTTACTGAAAAAATTGATTAATGAAGTAATCATTACTCTAACAAGTAATGAATTTTTCCGAAAGGCAATATCAGAAACGGATTTTTAATTAATAGAATTAAAAAACAAGAAGGAACTGATCAGAAATATTGTTATTTCTGATTATATGTATCAGAAAAATGCAAATAATTGAAATCATGAAGTGAAAAAAAAGAAAACATTAATAAAGCTATCAAAATTTTAATTTAAATCAAAACTTTTACTATTCCATCGGAAATATTTTTCTATCGAAAAAACACATTACCTTTACAAAAACCAATATTTTTTTTTTCTTATTCTAACAAAAAAAAAAATAATTAAACTAGTTTTATTAAATAGAAAATATTTCTTAATTTATTTTGCTTCATAATTGAAATGAATTGTTTTTTTTTTTTGATTGCAAAAATTTCAATTCTATTTAAATTATTTAAATAATAATTCGATTTTTTTTAGGTTTGTCAGTGGTGGATTTTTTGGTTATTATGCATTTGCCATTTTTAATCATTGATTTATTATATGGACAATGGCTATTTGGTAAATTAATGTGTAAATTTTATTGGTTTGGTGAGAGTGTTAATAAATTATTGAGCAGTTTTATTATGACTGTCCTTAGCTGGGATAGATATTTGGCTGTATGCTCGCCAATTAAATCCATCAGGTTTTCCTCTTTTTTAATCAGTTCATTTATAGACAATAAAGTAAACAAAACTAAAAAAAATTTTTTATTATATTATTGTAGAGAGAAATTTTTTTTTTAAATTTAAGTGTTGAAGACAAGAAAAAAAATCTTTCATGAACTTTTTTTTTTCATTTTTAAATTGTTATAAATTTTTAACAACAAATTTTTTTTTATTATTAATAATTATTAATTTATCGTAGAATGCGAAGAACAACAGTAGCATGCTTCGTTTTATTGTTATGCTCATCTTTAGCGGTAATACTTTTGTTACCTGTTGTAATGAATGCAACCGTTGTACATGTTGATGTTCAAACAGGTAGCCTTATAATAGGTAATCCAAACGATGCTTTACACTTAGGTTTGTTTATTTTACTGCATTTTCTTTTCATTTTTCTTTAATAATTTATTTTATTTATTTCTCTATTATTACTTATGACTTATAAAAAAAAGATATATATATATATATATTTACAGCCTTTTTTTTTTAATTTCAAATTTTCGACACATTTAAAATTCTAATTTTTAATAATGATATTTCTAGATTATCATAATCATAATCATCAGCAACACAAACATTATCATCATCATCATATAACACAAACAAAATGTATATTTGAAGAAAGCAATCCAACATTTATGTATTATACATTCGCATGTGGTTTCTTATTACCAGCTCTTTTAATTACCTATTTTTACTTAAATGTAATAAGTTATTCTATTCTTTTTTTAGTTTCTTGTCTTTTCTCTTTTTTTGAATAATTCATTAAATTAAAAAAAAAAAAATAATTTAAAGTATGGCTATCTTGTCCTTTCCAATCCTTTTTTTTTTTGAATTTTAACAGGTATCATTTAAATTATTTTACACTAATTGTGACAAGTTTTTTTTTTTTGAAGGTAATTATACAATTGCATAAAAGTGTTGCAAATGTTCATCGGCATAGTTTTATCACTAAACAGCGAAATGCAAATATGCGGATAAGGCAGGTATATTTTAAATTTTAAATCAAATATTCACTTTTTTCGATATTATTTTAATTTTTTTTTACAAAATTTAATATGAAATTGCTTTTGGTATTACTTCATTTTTTTAGTATATGGAATTTAAAATTATTAAAAAAGAATTGTGTTGTTTAAATGAAATCTGTTGCTTACTAATACTGATGAATAAAGAATAAATGATGTATGACCAATTTCAAACAAAAGAATTTAATGATATTACAAAAATTACAAAATAACATAATTTCTCTTTTCCTCTGTATATTTCAAATGAATCTAGAAATTTTAATTCGATGAATTAAATTAGAATTAAAAAAGTTATTTTGTAGGTAACGAAACGAATTGTTGCTATGATTTTATTTTATTTTTTCTGTTGGCTGCCACATTGGGCACTAAATCTACTGGCTCATTTTGAGCTTATTGTTGTAAGCCTTTCTTTTTTTTTTTCCTTTTATTGCTATTTTAATTTTCCTTTTTTGCTTTTTAATTTTCTATTAACAAAATTCACTTCATAATTATCGATGTTATCATAAACTTGTGATAATAAATTGAGGAAATAAATATCTCTCCTATCAATTAACTAAAATAACATTTCAAAATCATATTGAAATTTTTTCAAAAAAGGGAATGGAGAGAGAAAAAAAAGTGATTTATCAAGTTTCAAAAAGAATTTTTTTTATTCATAACTAAATGCACAAACTTATTCATTTCTCTTTTTATCATTCAATTAAACTTTAATATTATTCCATTTACTATCATACTGTAAATATTATCATGATGCATTATCATATGTCGCATTTCTACCAACTTTTCTTATCTAATTAACAATAACAACAACAAAAATTTAAACAATGAAAAACGAAAGTAATAAGTAATATCTTTTGTTAGGTATCCTGGTCAACCTTAACATTATCATCAATTTTTTTTGCGGCGCATTTGTTAGTTTGCTTTAATTCGGCTGTAAATCCAATCCTATATGCGATTATCAATCGTGAATTACGACAACAACACACAAAAGCTTTAATTAAACGTTGTCGATCATTATCAAATGCTACCAGTACCGCTTTAGATGCATTGATCAAACATTCTCATCAGTAGGTGAAATTAATCTATTAGTTTTAGCTTTCTCTTCTTTTTCGTTCTTTTTTTTTTTTTTTTTTAAAAAAAAAAAAAAAAAGTTTACATCATATCTTTAAGGATTTGTTAGGTTTTAATTCCATTTTTATTTTTTTTAATATTTAAATTTGATTTTTTGCAAAACTTTCTAATTTGCTTCTTACTTTATATAGGACGATTATTTCAATACAGAAAATAATTGCTAAAAAATTTTTGATTAATATTAGAAAGTAGTTTTTATATGTTTGCATTTGCATTTTAGCCATTTATTGTCTGCTTGCTACCTTTTATTTTTTCATTTTTTTTCTTTTAAATTTTGTTCTGATCAATTTTACTTGATGTTAGGAAAAGAAATTTTTTTTCAACAGCTTTCAATCATTTTTTCAACTTTTTAAAAAATTTTTTAGTTCTATAAGGAAGACAACTTTTCATAAATGTTGATCAATTTGCTACGTAAACTTCTCATAAGTATTTGCAATTTTATTAAATGTTTTAACCTTCTTTTACTTTTAAACTTTAGCCTTGTGGAATGTGCTGGACCGTTACACTGCAATTTTGATGCAACGAGTGGCTATGAAAATCAACAACATACAAGGTTCACTTTTAATTTTTTAATTTCCAATTTTAATTTATAAATCATTTATCACTTTTTTATTACGATATATGAATTAAATAATTACATCAATTTTGTAATGATAATAATTTAATGAATTTAGAAATGCAATGAGAATTTGTTTTTTTTTTGCAAATAATTTATATGTCTGTATTCGTAATTTCACTTTTTTTTTTAACTTTTTCAGAATTTTATTTTTTCCAAAATTTTATTGCTATCATTTAGCAATAGTTTAATGAAATTAAATGGAATTAAATAAAAAAATTAATGAAATTGAACTTTTCAAACTTTTGTTGCTGTTGTTTAGTAATAGCACAATGAAATTAGTAAATATTATTAAAACATCTTTTTTTTTTCCAACAGCTAAAATAAAACAAAAGTATAAGTTATTTCATTTTTTTTAAACCTTTTCTTTCTCTCTTTCACTTTTTTTCACTTAAATTAATAGTGTTAATTTTTAATATTTAGCTATAATGATGATTATTAACTGCTGATAATTGATCACTGATGGTTGGTCAGTGATGAAAATTTTAAAAATGATTTTAATGAAACTTTGTTCAAAGTATTCTTTGAACTTTTTTCTTTTTTTTTAAATGTAGGAAAGAAAAGAACAATTCACCTTCATCAACAACAGCTGTTCTACCATTATGTTCGCTCAGTAATCCGACAATAGCAGTTGAAAATGATAATGAAATTAAAATGGATTTATCACCGCCGAATTATTTACAGCGAAAAATTATAAATGATATGAATGATATTAATAGTTCATTATTGTTTTCCAGCAGCTCATCTTCTAAAACAGTTGATATCATTGGTATAATACATCAATCACAATTTATTAATTCATGTTGCACATTGAAATCAAAAAAAAAAATTGATTGTATGGATTCATTTCTTTGATTATTGATATTATTATTTCTTCTTTTTTAAATTCATTTTACTTTTCTCTTTTTCTCATATTTTTTATCATAAAAGATTTTAATCATTTATTGTAAATAAATAAAATTTTGAAAGATATTTCATTCAATTTTTGCAATCATAAATTTATGTATGAAAAATGAAATTGAATGATTGGTTGACTAATTCTTTTTTATTTTAACAAAAATTCAAAACAAAAAAAAAAAAAAAAAAAACTCTGAAAAGCATTGCTATCATATGTTGTAACCATCAATTTATGAATTGAAATTTTAAATGTAATAAAGAAAAAAAAAATAAATAATTGCTTAGTTTAAATTAAATATCATTACAGTATTTTAGTTTTTTATTTGCATTTCTTCTTTTGATTTAAAAAAAAGAAATAATAATATAAAAAAACTTCGGATTTATGTGATTCATTAGATTTATTAATATTGGTGGATAAATGTCTTTTAAAATAATGGTATTGTTCTAGAAATGATAAACTGGCTATATAATGTAAACGGAAATCATGATAATAGTTCAAATGTCATAATTTATCATGTACTAAAATGAACTCAAAAATTATTAATCTATTTTATAGTAAAGTGAAAGAAAACAATTCTCTCGTTCAAAAATTTTTTAGTATTTCTCGATAAAAATTATAAAATGCATGGCGATCATTAATATGCAGCTTCATTATCAATAAATAATTTTGCTTTCTTTTTCTTGTATGAAATAAAATTTTTAATTGAAATAAAATTATAAAATTTAATTATGCATATCGCATTTTCTTTATATATTTTCTTAAAAAAAGAGGAAAGAAAAAATGCGATTATGTGCATTTTCATATCAAATAAATACTGTAATTTATTTCATATCGCTTAATGTTTGTTGAAATTTTTGAAAAAATTAGTCAATTTATGTCTTAAATGAAACATCGCTCTCTTTTTTTTATATATTATCAATCATTAAAATTTTATTTGAATTAGATTATTCTACAGATTTACTTCTACGATTACAAATGGTAATTAAGCTCATAACAGTAATCATATGAAAATTAAAAAAGATATCTCAACCAATCGATAAAAATCAATTTAAAAACAATTATTATTTGCATAATGATGATAAATTTATGGTAAGAAAAAAAGGAAGCATAATGATATGTAACGAAAAGAATGATAATTTTTTTCTGAGAAGATTAAGTTGATTACTTTTTAATTAACAACAAATCATTCATTAATTCTAATCTTATTCGTGACTGATTCAAGTGCTGATTTAATTTAAGCAATTAAATTCTTTTTTTTTTCTAACTTTGTTTTATTATTCCATTTTACATTTAGCTTAGTTAGATAAAACATAGCCATAATATTTTGCCTTCTTTGTATTTTTCTACCAATTATAATTAAACAAATTAGAGAAGCATCCAAATAAAATTTTGTTACATGATTTTAAGAATGGTTTTTTTTTTTCTAAAAAAAAAATGAAATGGAAAGCCATTTTAATTAACGCGTACTTTTAGAACTTCAACTATTATTGATTAGCATTAATTAGCTAAACCTAAAGGATGGAAGGACATTGGAAGAAATGAAAAGGAAAAAAGAAAGGATAAGTTCATTAAACTAATGAAAGCATTTTTTTTTTTTTTTCTTATTTCATTTTTATCATTTTTAAAGAAAAAAAAAAAAAAACTTTTTTTCTTCTTTTTAGGTAAGCAATAAAATATTAGAATAGATATAGATAAAAGGGAAGGAACGAGTGAATGAAAAAATCGGGAATAATTTATTTTTTGTAAATTTTTTCCCGCAATTTTTTGAAATTATTTTATTGCATTTCTTCAGTTTTACCCATTTTCACCACTTTTTTTTTGTTTTTGCCATTATTTCAAAACACCGTTAAAAATCATCACAGCCACTTGATATTTTTTTTCTTAATTTGTCATAAAAAAAAAATTTTTCCTATTTTATTCAATTTAAAAAATCTTTTCTCACTGTTTTGTTTTATCTTACATTTCTATTAATATACATAAATATTTCATAATGATATCATTTGTTATCATTACTTAACATAATAACTCATTCAAATGAAGAAATATTAGTTATTATTGTGTGTATCATACAAAATTTATCAAAATAGTTCCATCGTAATTTTTTTGTATTAAATTTATTCTTTTAATTTTGCCATTAAATGATAAAATTCAAAAAATCTGCGATGATAATGGCTTTTTCATTTTTTTAAAAAATATTGATCACTGCAATGACTTATTAAATTATTTTCTTTTTTACGTTTTTCTTTAAGTATAATTAATTAAACAATTTGTTTATCAAATTTTAGTAAAGTTTAAACTTTATTAAATTTTTGCAGCATTTGATCTAAACATAAAAAATTATAAAATTAAAAAAAAAGCTATTCTCAAACAATAATAAATAAAAAATAAAATTAACAACTTCCAATGTATATTTTCAAATATTTCACCTTCTAATTTCTTTTATATGCTTGCTTTTAATTCGTCACCTGGAAAGGTGACCTTCCAAAAAATAGGTCGGGGCCTAACAAGCCATCCATTTACATTGTAAACAGTACCAAATGATATATTTGATTCTGATTACACCGAAGTACTTCGGCAACAATACATATTGAGCTTACGTCACGAAGCATTCGGTGCATTTGTGCGCTACATCGCTCATTTTGGCGATCTCGACAAATGCACCCAGTGCCTGCTACTCCATTTTGTGAGCCTCCTAATATGATGCTGAAATCCGTAACTGTTAGTGGATCACCGTATATATTAATATCAGTCAGTCTGCAATATAATAATACTATCTATTAATTTGTTTTCCTCTTATGATATCATGTAATATTCCTGTCATTTCTTTATAATATTATCAAATCATTTGTCATTTTTTGCACTAATCAACTGTTATTATTTGCATATTTCATTGAAAGAAAAATATAATAAAATGGATTTTTTTAAAAAATTTTTGCAGAAATTTAATATAGTTTCCAATACTGGTAATGAGAGGCAAAGTAGAAGAATGGAAAAAGAAAACGAAAAAGAATGACTAGAAAATTTGATTTGAAATATTTGACTTGGAAATTTCATGATAAGAAATTACATTTCCATTTTAGTAATTCATAATGTGATGCAAAACACTGAAAAGGCACAAATGATTTGACTGTATACGAAAAGAGAAAGAATGAATTTTTTCGCGCATTCCACGTACAAGAAAACATCATCATAGCATTGAAGCATTCAAAATCATAATTGCAAAAAAAATAATTCTAAACAAATTTCATCAAATATATATTATTAAATTTAAATAAAACCAGTGAAATTAAATTTGCATTGTTGAATTTGGTTAAATATATTTCATAGTTATTGTAAATCGTTAGTGTTTTCTTACATATTTTTTATCAGTAATTATTATATTGTTATCAAAAACTTAACTTCTATTTGTAGGATAAAATTTATCACAACATGTTATCACATTGTGTTACATTCTTAAATTTCTTACATTCTGTTTATATTGCTTTCGAAAATTTTCATAATTAAAACTTTAAATAGTAAAGTTTATGCTTTCTTGTTTCCTATGAAGTTTATTTTTTGTTAAAATCATTAACCAAGGTTAGAAAATCAATTTCCTTTTAATTTTTGATAATTCAATGAATACATCTTACATTGAAAGGATTTGTAAGAAACATTTGTTAAGACTTCAATCACCATATTTCTTACTTTAAAAAAAAGAGAAAAAAACTGAAAAGTAAGCAAACAAACAGAAGAAAAAAAGGCATAAACACTATAACATGTTAGATTAATTTATACATGAATTGAAAATGATGAAATAATTAAATTGACACGAAGATTTAGCTTTTTTTGAACAAAAGAAGAAAGACAAAAAAGGAATAGCGCATCTGTCCCATTCAATTAACTCGTTTTTTCAGAATGTATGAGAAAAATAGCGAAATCAAGAAGAATGGAAAGATCCGATATATGAAATTTTCTCATTTCATACATATAACGTGGATATTGGATATCTCTTTTTTTTCTGCCTTTTATTTATTGATTATTTGTCTAACAGTAGATGTGTGGGCAAATTTATTGTAATTTGTTAATCCACTAATATCATTTAATATTGTAATGTTTATTTACAGTAATAATTAGTTTAATTAAATCGTTGATAAATAACAAAATTTTATGAAATTTTATGAAAATTAATGTTTTGTTTTTACTAAAATCTAAATTTCATCCTAAAAATGTTCTGAATTTCGTTAGCTACAAAAATTACTTCTGTTTTTTTTTTTTTTTTTTTTTTTTTTGCGGATAGATCTTAATTTTTCAATAATTTGACATATGGTAGAAAGAATTGAATCTCTTTTTTTTTTATAAAAGACACCGTTTTAAATTTATTCAATTAATACCCGTCACAATGATTTTGATAAAGTTAATAAATAGTTTTTGATAAAATTTTGGTAAAGTTTTGAAAATTTTGACAAAATTAATGAATTTCAGGACTTAAAGATTCAATTTTTTCATTTAAAATGTCTAATTTAGGAATAATAAAATGAGTTGTAGCACAGTTTGTGAATAATACACTTATTGGATGCAGAAATAAACGAAGAAATAAATTAGAACTTTTAAATTTTAAAAATATTCTACAGTCTTAGAAATATAAAAAATTTTAGAAATATTTTCTTTGCTTCATATTTGTTTTGCAACATTTTCGTAACATTTTTGATATAAAAATTGTATTCAAAAATTTTTAGCTTTTTAAACTGTCAAGAAAAAATATTGCTTATTGCTTGTGCCTTAAGAATTTTACTTTATATTTGCAATATCTCAGTCTCATTCATTTTTCTCACTTTCAATATCAAATTTCAGGACTTCAAGATTCAATTTTTTCGTTTATATATGTAAATAATAACCACCTGTAATTTATCCAGTAAATTACAATGATTGTTTTTTTTTTTAATTTTCACCGACATTTCTTGGCATTCAAAATAAGAATTTCACTAATTAAAATGAAATTTCAATTTTATTCTCTAATTCCTTGAGATTTTGGAGCTTTTTTATGTACTTAGAAAACACTTTAATTTCTTTCTAGCATTTTTTCCTTATATTTGATAGATCATTTTTTTTAAATAAATTTAATTATTTATTGGAGTAAAATTTATATTTCTATACTAACTTGTTGCTTTGTTAAATATAATTTTAATTGTTATTAGAAGGAAAAGAGGGATACATTTGCTATGGTTTTTATTTTTTATCTGAACTTTATGGTTATTTTCAAATATTATTATTAAATAATTAAAAGTTTATCGTAACTTTTACAATGAATTTTTTTTAAATTGTATTTTAACCAAAAATAATCCATCTATTGATCAAATAAACTTATTCAAAGGTAAACGCTTACTTGCTATTTCCTTTTTAATTTAATTTTCTTTTTTCTAGTGAGTTAATGAAACAGCCAAACTGTATTATTAATTTTTTTTCCGAAATTAACTGAGTTAACTGTTTAAATTTATCGGAAAAATTTGTATACATGTATGATTATTTACTAAAATAATTATATGTTATTTTCTGTTATGCAGCAAATGATAATTTAACTATGCACAATGCCACAAATGCTATTACAATAACAGTTATATTGTCATAACAACAAGAACAATTAATTATTTATTTGTTTTAATTTTAACTTTCCTTTATCTAATTTTAATTGTTATCATTTTTTTGCGTAGAAAAATTATAATTACGAAAAAAAAAAATCTCATCTTCTCATGCCAATTTCGTTTACATTTCAATTAATTGTTGTTCAGGAAAAAAAAAAAAAGGTGGCATGAATAGTTCATGGTTCCTTTTCCTTTTTTTTAAGACGAAAGTTATATTTGCTGATAAAATTGAAGGAAATTATTCTCGACTTTTCTAAAATTACTCAATTTCATTTTCTTCTTCTTTTTTCTTTTTTTTTTAAAAAAAAAAAGGTGTCTTTCTGTTCATTTTTGCGCAAAACTTTATTTCGACCATTTCGTTTCGTTATCACTGAATTGATAATTTTATTTTATTATAATAAAAATTTCAAAAATAATTTTTCGTAAAAATTCATACATTTAGATAATTTTAGCACTAATTTATTTGCTAAAAATTTTATGAATAATAAGCAAATTAAATTTAATAAACTTATTATAATCTTTTTATTTGTAAATTTATATGATAATAATGACAGTGATTAAATAAAAGAAAATGATTGTCTTTTAAATGATATCATCAATTATTTTCATCAACAGCATCAGCATCACCATTGTTTAGCAACTAAGCTAGCTTATTTGCTTTTTAATTTCATTCGATGTGAAATAATCTTTTTTTTTTTCTTTGAATTTTAAAATATTCTAAGACTTATTAATTGTAAATAATGTGAAATCTAATATTTGTTAACATGACAATGTATTTTTATATTCAATTAACGCAACTTTTCAAGCAATATTTTTGAAAAGAATGATTTTGAAGAAAAGATCAGAAATAATAGTAAAATGAATGACTGATTTCTTCAATGTTTTATCTTCCGTTAACTGTCTATATACGATTAAATAATTTATTTCCTTTTATTTTTATAATGTCGCTTGTTTGTTTTTTTGTTTTTTTTTTTTTTTTTTTGGTTTCATTCTAGAACATTTCATTTCTATGATTTTATGTTTCTTTTGAGCGATGCAAAAAACAGAAAAATTTTTGATAAACTATTGCAGATAAAAAAAGAGCTTGTATTGATAGCATGATTCAGAAAAAAAAAAGAAAAAGGTGAATAAAATAATTAGCTTGCATCAATTTTAAGAAACGGGTGAATGAGGACATGAAGCTAACGTTGTTAGAGTTAGAATTGAGTTGAACGAGAATTAGTGTTAGATAATCGTTTGGTAATTTAATCATTTTCAATTTTTTAAATTCGATAAAATTTCTTTTTTTTTAACGAATTATTCAGGTGGAATTATTATTATTATTAATAGTAATAGTAATGGTAATGATAATAATTAATAATAATAATAATAATAGCAATAATAATGAAAGAATGCAATAAAAAAACAAATAAAAATATTTTTTGGAAAAAAAAAACAAAAGAGGAGATTAGCGAATAATTAATTGAAAAAATTATTATTTTACAAAAAGTATCATTTTACACTATATGCGTTGTCGTCACCAACCAGTGCATAAATATTTTTTAGGTATTCAAATGCAAAATTTTGTTACACTTTATTTAATTGCAACTTATTTTCAAAGATGTTTTTCCACTTCATATTTTATACTTTTTTTTCAAAAAACAAAACAAGAGCTATGATAGTAAAAACTATAAAAAGCATTATGAGGTTTGTTTTTTTCCATTCTTTTTTTTTTTTTTTTTTTTTTTTGTTGCATTGCTTTTATAACTTTTTCACTGATAATTTAATAGAAGTAAATATTTAATTCTTATTTCAGGTATTTAATTATAATCGGTACAATTTTTTCTTTGTGGTATTTTTTCTGTTTTCTTTTTGTTTTAAAATTAATACTTTATTTTCATTATAATTGTTTTTTTGTTATCTTTTGGATTATTTTAATGATATTTTTTTGATATTTATTATTTTTCAGTTGAGTCATTAAGTTTCGTTAAATTGTTTAATAAATAACTTGCTAAATCGAAAAAAAGTAAACAAAAATTAATGTTTTTGAAGCTAATTGTAAGAAAAATTTCATACATTATCATTTTTTTCTTTTGTATTTACAAGCAATATAATTTTTTATAATACTTTCATGTAAATATTTTGATCCTAGGAAATGAAATACTTGGCCATCACTTTTTTTTTGTTTTCTTGTTATTGTTTGTTTGGCACAAATAGTATTGCTGTACTAGCACTCAATTATTTATCGGAGCCAAATATTTTAAATTTTGACTTAAAAATTTTATTTCTTTGTTCTTTAATCTATGTTTAATCCATTACTTTTCAATTTGTTGAAGACAATAAATTAGTGAAAGAAATCACTTTTAAACATCCTTTATTTTATTAGGACATTATATTTATTGAAATAGTTAAGGAAAAAAAAATCTCGTAACATTTTATCGTAAAATCTAGACACCTGTGAAAATTCTATTAAAAGAAAAATACAACAACAGCAGTAACAAATCTTTCCAATTTTCTTTTTCCGTAGAATCAAAAACAAAAAAAAAAAAAAGAAAAATGGTATTTCTCATTTTTTCCCTTTTCTAAAGTATTTTCAAAAGGAAAAAAAAAAAGACGGAAAAAGGAAGTAAAGTATTACATTTCCAATTTGGTATGCTAATTTTAACCTCTATGAAATGGTTTTTTTTAATAATTTTTTCAATAATTTATTAAGTTTTTTTTTTTTTTTTTTTTTTTTTAATTTTTCTAACACACGAAATTATTTGTATTTTAAACAACTGTATCTTTCAAGAAAAAAAAGAAAAAAAAAATTTGGCCGCTTATCTGATCAATTAGTTCCAGCTGTTGTTTATATTCTTATTGCTAGGCTTTTAAACCCTAACACTTCTGTTACTTAAAAAAAGTTTGTTATTTCTCACTTCTTCTAATGAAAAAAAAATTTTTTCAAAAGTTTGTTTCATTTACTTCATTCCTTCCTCTTTTTAATTCCTTTTTCTCTCCTTCATTCTTCTAACTTCTTCACCTTAATCATTTTTCCTTTCTTCCTTTGTTTTCAAACAGTCGTCTAACTAATATTAAGATAAATAAAAAATCATTTTCTCTACATTTTGACTTAATACGTAACTTCAAACACGGTGGAAATTTAAAATCTTCAGATAAATTAAAAAAGTTAGAAATGATTTTTTGAAATATAATCTAAATTTCTTTTGGAAGGAAGCAAAAAAAAACGAAGGTTTAGAAAAATCAAATCTTTGAATTTTAGTGACATAATAATACTGATAATAAAAGAAAAAAGGGAAAAGAAAAAAAATAAAAAAGGAATTCTGTAATTTTGATGAAATTTGAATTTTAGGATATTTTAAAGTTATTTGAAATGATGAATATTTTCTATTAAATCTAAAAACCAGTTTTTTACTTTTTCTTTTTTTGTTAAAAATTTTAATGCTTGAATTAGGTCAAGATTTGCATAATAGTTGCATTCATATGGAATTTAAACTGCAAGATTAGCGAATAAATTCAAGGTTATATGGAATAATAATATACTTTTTTTTTGTAAATTGTTATAAAGAATGAATTTGAAATTTCTTTAAAAAACAAAAAAAGAAAGGAAGAACAGAAAAAAGGCAATTTTAGGGTATCATTTAAATTAGTAAAATTTTTTTTAATTAATAAATATAAAAATTAATTTGAAATGTTACATTGAAATCACAAAAAAAAGGAAGAAAAAATAAAATATCATTTTTGTCAGTATTTTTTTTTTTGCATTTTAGACGAAATAAATTTTTAGCAATGATAAAAATGGAACGGAATGAATATTTAAGGATTTTTTTTTCCCTTACTTTCGTAATTTTTTTCTATAACAAATATTTATAACTGAATAAATAAATAAGTAAATATATAAGTAAATTTTGATATCATTTTGCAATTACAAATTTACAAATTTAATTTAATTATTAGTTCACAACGATGATAGTTTCTTTTCTTAATCCAATGTAAAATTTGTTGATATAGGGGAGATGTGTTACTTCTAGCAATTATCTATTGTCGTTTTTTTTTTCTTTTTTTGAAAAAATATGATGTAATATCAAAATATTATATTATATACAATTTTTGTGCTATAATTTTCATTATTATTCAACACATTAATAGTTTAACTTAAATTTTTTATGCACTTAAATAAGCTTTTTTTGATGCTATTAATATAAAAGTTTTTTCAGGTTGTAAGTTTTGTAATCACTATTCTCTTGAATTTTAACGAAATTGGATGAGAAAGAAATAAAAGTTGGAACAAATTTTGGCAAAACAAAACGAAGAAAAAAAAGGAAAGAAAAAAAGATGTCATCAAGATTGCAACATGTAGTTATCAATGATAACCCGGAAACTTTAGCAATATCACAATTTTACACTAATTATTGTACAAAAGTAACAATAACAATGACAACAACAACAACAACAAATGCAACAACATCATCCGTAATATCATCAAAAATGATAACACAATTCGGAAATAAACAACCCGAATCGTGCATTTATTCAGGAAATCGTAAAATTTTTGCGAAAACATGGAATTCAGCCATTCATCGTTTGTCACTTCCTATCGTTGCTCATCTTCATCCTGAATTTCATTTTATTATACCAATCGTTAATTATAAAAGATTTACGGCAAAAGACGGTTCATTTCCTGACCATATAAAGGTTTTCATTTTCATATATATATATGCATATGTGCTTCTATATATAATTCAGGAAAAAGAATACAATAATAAGAACTGACGAGGAATTAATTAATAAATATGAATTTACAAGTAGGATGAACAAAAAAAAAAAACAGAACAAAACAAAAATGTTTAAAAATTCTAGATATATATCATTTGCATTTTATAATCAAGTATATACCTATTCATTTACACATTCTTATATTTCTTTGAGCAGTTAGGTTATAGTCATTTATTACTTATTAAGTTATAACTCATTCGCAACAATGCTTAAGTTATGGCTCTTTATTACTCAGTTAAAGTTATGACGTATTCATTACTAAACTAAGTTATAACTACTCATTACTTACGTTATATTCATTCGTAATCCGTAATAATGGTTATAGTTTTGGCTATCCGTTAATTAAGTCATGACTATTCATTACTTAGTTAAAGTTATTACAGTTTATAAGTGTTTAGGAAGAATGAATAAATGAAAAAATTCTTTCACCATTTTTATATTCAATAAAAAGCAAGATATTAGTCATCATCACCATCACAATCATCGTTACTATCATTACCATCACTATCATTATCATTATTACCACCATTATCATCATCATCCAAATATACGCCGGGGCGTGTCAGTCTGTCTTTCGTTTCATGCATATATGGTGCACTTTATTTTGTTATTTGATAGGTCTGTCAGTCGCGTTTTTCAGGGTGCTATAAAAAAAAATTGTGATAGATAGATAGTTTGTAGGTTGTGTGCGAATTCTTTTCATGTTTTGTAGCTTTGTTCTTTTTTTATTCTTATTTTTTTGTGTTTAGGAAAAATTATTTTCTTCTTTATTTTTTTTTTTTAATAAAAAATTTTGTTATAAATAACAAAGTGTTTCTTTTTTCACATAAAAGAATATGAACAGGAATTTTTTTTTTTCTTTCTTTTTTTAATACGATTAATATGTCGGATTTTTTTCCATTTTTCGGCTGTTTTTTAAGAGGTGGTTTAATCATATCCCGGATATTTTCCACTTCTCGGTCTTTTTTTAACAGTGGTTAATATCATATTCCGAATATTTTTCCACAAAACAACAGATTGGAGAGAATGTGATATGATACGATTAGGAAAAAACTGAAGGAAAATTCCTCATTCAGTGATCAAATGATCAAAATAAATAATCAAATAAATCAGTCAATAATTTTCGCATTAATCAAGAATTATAATATATTGGAAAATTAGTTTTTATGCGTATTAATCAGTTAACTGTTACGGATGATAATGATAGTTAGATAATTACAGTGTGGGAAAAGTGAAAAGAAGAAAGACGTTTAATTTTTTTCCTCAATTTATTAAAATATATTAAACGATATTATATTTATAAAAAAATGATATTGTGTTTGTAGAAATTAATTTCATGATTAAATTTATTAGAATTTACGATATGAATAATTGAATATGTAAAAATTTTAATTGCGAGCCAAAAAAAAAAAATAAACAAACATAAAGTGATAATTTAACTGTAATAAAATTATTCTGAAGCAAAAAATTGTAGTTTTAATTTCCTATTTATTTCTGATTTTATAATTTTTTTATTTTTAATGTTTATAGAAAATGACGGATAGAAAACGTTCATTACAAAACAATGAGCACTCCAAACGAGTAACGGTAATCGATCGACCTGGTCAGGATAAAGTACATTTTACCGGAGCTCGAACAAGACATCGAATTGTAGATGTATTAAAAGGATTTGTAGGTTTTACTTTTTTTTCTAATTAGCGATTCTTTTATTGGCTCTTTTTTTTTAAAAAAAAAAAAAGTATGAAGTAATCAAGCAGGAAAAAATTTATTAACGATTATTTCATCATTGAACATATTGACTAAAAATTTAAATAATTTTCGAAAATGTTATATTTTGAAATTATTAAGTGGTGAAAGTTGAAAATGTGATCTTTTTTTGGTTTTTCAAATTATTTAAATTGCTTTTTTAATCTTTGGGATTCCAATAATATTTTTTTCGCTTTTTTTTCACGGTTTTTTAAAATCTTTTTTAAATTCCATAAATGTTATCCCTAGTTAATGTTATTTTTTCCATTTAATTCACACCAAAATATGGAAGTAAAAAAAAAAAAAAAAAAAAATAAATTGGTGTCATTTTGGTTTCCAAATTATATAATTATTAATCTTACTGTATGGAAATTAAGTTAGAATGTAAAAAAAAATTAGAAAAAAATTTTGTTTTGAATTCTTTTATATAAAATTGTCAAACGATTTCTTTCTTTTTCTATTTTTTTTAGAGATATTATTATACATTTTTCATTGTTTCATATTATGTGTTAACTATTTCATTTCATTTTTAGCATTAAAAACTATTTCATTTTTATATATGAAAGATATATGTGAAATCATTTGCATAATTTTTATTTTTTTCAATCCACTGAATTTATTTCTATCATTTCCATGCATTCTTTTCATCTACACATAAAATCTCATTTTGTTACCTATAATATCATAATAGTATAACATTTATAGTAGTTTTTACGTATGATATTACCTATAAATATTACCTATAATAATTGCCTGTAATAGTTATTAATAACTCAACATTTGAATTCTTTTCATTGATATGCGTTTAAACTTTTTAAGGAATACGTAAATTTTAGTTTTATTAATATTAATATTAAAATTCGTATGGTGCTAATAATAATAATAATTGTACATTAGATTCCTAGTTTCTCTTTTTTTTGCTTCATCATTGGATGATTCTAGCTTTTTTTCTTTTTTCTTCATCTCATTTATTTAGTGTAATATTTCAAATTTCATTGCCTATAATTAAATTTTTTAAATGAAAATAGAAAAAAAGAGACGAGTAGAAAGTAGGTTAAAGAAAAATTACAGATTACAAAAATTAATATTTTAGAATGAAATTCAAGAAATAGATCTTATTTTTTATTATGTACTGACGAAATCTATTGTTCATACCTCCTTTCATCTTTAACTAATTTGTTGAGCTTTCTCATAGTTAATAAATACTTTAATACTTAATAATTAAACATCTAATATATCAAATTGAAAAACTTTAAGAAAAAAGATGAGGGAAGAAAAAATGTTTTAAATAAGATGAAATTGAAACTTAGGAAATGACTAATCAGCGATTACATTCATTTTAATTCATCATTTATTAAACAAAAAGAAAAATTAAGGGTCAAAACATTATAGTAAATAATTTCGATGTTTTACTATTTCTTTTCCATATTTATCTTGTATTCTTCATTTCTCCCTTTTTTCTTTTCTTTTTTTTTTTTTTTTTTTGTGTGTGTTTTTCTTATGATTTCCTGTTAAGTTTATGAACTTTAAAACATATCTTTTGCTTAGTGGAGTTTTTTTTTAATATTCTATCATAGATTTGTGAAATTCCACTTCATTTCAGTGGTTCTAGCATTATTCATCTAATAAGAATAATAGCAGTAAAATAAATAATAATGCTGATGACAGTGATAATCATAATCATAATAATAATAAATAGTAAATAATAGTAATGATTAACAGTAGTGAGATCATTTTTATTCATTTCTTTCATTAAAAACGACCGTAAAGAATAAAAATTTATTTTAATTTCATTTATTTGTTTAATTTATTCATTCATTTTTATTATATTGATTTGAAGTCATATTTTTGCATATGTTTTAAAATTTTCACTCTTATTCTCCATTTTTCTTTTTCATCCTAGTAATTTATCAAAACTTGGTCATTATCAAAATGATTTCATTTAATCTTTCATAGTTATCTCATATCTCCGATACGATTATAATAGAACAGTTGACAATATCTCTCCTTCTCTTTCTATTTCATTATAACTTATTGTTTAAAATTAATTTAATTGATCCAAAAATATTGATATGAAAGAAAAAAGTAATTATTTATGATAAGCGAAGAAAGTTTTCTATCTTTCTTTATTTCCTTTTTTTTCTTATCATTCCCTTTCATTTATTTTGTTATCACTAAATATTTCAATAATTTCATCCTTATTTTGGCCGAATATATATACATATATGCGATTAAAAACAAAAAGAGATTCTCATTTTATTAAAATTCATTACTTTATTGAGAAGTAAGCGGGAAGATAAGACAGATAGAGAAAAAAATTTTTTAATTATTTCCTTCTCTCTCTCTCTCTCTCTATATATATATACATATATATATATATACATGCATACAACTACCATTTTGCTTCCTTCAACTAATACTTTTTTTTTATTACAATGTTGTGGTTCTCTTCCTAAGAGAAAGCATATTACATTTAAAAAATGGAAAATAAAAAAAAGAAAAAAATTTGGAAAACGGTTTGTAATGACCATTTGCTCTTCCCACTTTTCTTTCTTTTTGTTTCCTTTTTTTTTTCTTTCAACTCCCAAAATTACATTCTTGGAAAAGTCATTTTTGCATAAGAAGAAAAGAAAAAGAAAAAAAGTTGAAAGGAATCGAATTTTTTGTCATTTTAATGGTTTTTTTTTTTGCTTCTCAATATTTAATATTATCTAATGTACTCAATTTTCTTCATGAAATTTCATCATTTTTTTTTTTTTTTTCTTAAAGCTTATCTAATTATCTAATAATTGTTAATTGAAATTTTAATAGAAATTTTTTATTCATGTTATTAGAATGAAAATTTTTGTTTGATTTTATTGATAATCCAAAATTAACATTTTTTTAAGGTTGGATTTTTTAAATTTAAACTCTAATGTATGAAATAAACGCTATTATCTGTTATTATTTCACTATGATAATTGATAAGAATCTTATTTAAATGTGATACAGCCATTATGACAGTACAATACTGCAAATTGTTGTAATGACAAATTCATCTACCAAATTTTTGTCTTTTCTTTTTCTTTTTTGCTAGTTCAGTTATTGTCTCTAAAAAAAAAAAAAAAATTTAAATGAATATTTTCTAACATCATTTTCAGTTAATTATATAATTCAACTTTAACGCAACATTACATTTCTGTTTACTTGTGTTACATGTAAACAGAAATATTTGTTATAAAGAGAGGGAGAAAAAAAGGAAGTGTAAGACACTGATTGTAAAATAAAATATGTACAATTTTCAACAATCTTTGTGTATTTTACATATATCTTTCGTCTTCATCCAATCAAAGAATTCATTTTACTTTTTTCTATTCCCATTTTTTTTTTCTTTATTTTCTAATATATTAGTACCGCTGTTGACAATGACAGCAGTGTCAGCACTAACGATGATAATGATGATAGCAATGATAAATGATAGTAGTAGCAGTAGTGATTTGTATGACACAGTTTTTCGAATAAATGTCTCAACTATTCTACTGATAAGTGCTATTGGTCAGAATAGTAATGAGAATATTCTATTTCATGTTGTAAAGTTATTAAGCATTGGTTAATCGTTATTGCATTTTGCTGCATAAATTGATCGAAGACAAGAAAACGATTAAAAAAAAATTTTTCTTTTAAATTCTTTTTTTTTTTTTTTTTTTTTGCTCATTCATTATCATTTTTCCTTTTTTTATCATTTTAACTATCTGTAATCTATATTTTACAATACTTTCTTTTCGTTTTTTCTTTTTTTGCCTGAAATATTTCGAAATACTATCCTTTCACATTATATAAAATCAAAGTTGCAATTGTTGAGTTAAAATTTAGATTTTACATAATGTAAAAACTATAGTACAAGTATTCCAGATGATCACTTATATCTGCTCAATTAGAAAAATCACATTGTTGGCTTACTTCATTGCTGTAAATCTATCAAATTAATAGTAATTAGGGTTCTTTTTTAAATGAAACTTTAAAAACTAATAACAATAAGTTAATTTTGTTCAAATCTTACATTTCGATCCAGTTTCAATCAGAAATATTTTTTGGGAGATATGTTTGCTTCATGCTGTATATCATATGTGAGAAATAAAATTTGTTAATAAAATTATTTTCTATTCATTATTTTTGTCAATATCCATTTTTGTTAATGATGAATAAAAATAAACAATTATTTATTGATAATTTTCTCTTCCAATACTTCTAATGCATTATTAATTTTTATCCCATAATATAATCAAATACAAAATATCATTTATTTTACACTCCAAATGATAATAATAATGATAATAATAATAGTAATCGATAACGAAATATCATTTGCTTCCAAGTAATAATAATAATCGATAATTTTAAAACAGAGCTTATCAATAAGATCTGAATAGAAAGATTTGAAATGAAAGAAAAAAGAAGATTGAAATTAAGAAATATTAAAAATAATAAACAAATAAATAATTTATTCGTTTATCATTTTTAGTTTGAATTAGCAATAGTAGTGGACAAATTATCAACCCAAATCATTTTCCATTTGTCCAGATGGTCACTTCAGCCATTCATTCATTCATTCATTCATTTCCTATCATCTCAATCCATCTGTTCCTGAAATATTTCATTTAATAACCAATTCATATTTATTTCATTGTTGTGTGATTGACCATTTGTAATTTTTATGATGTGAATTGTTGAATTTTTGGTTTAGCTTTTTTTTCTTTCTTTGTAAATTGTGAATGCTTTACTTCTAAATTTCATTTCACAAATTTTTTTCTTTCTATCTTTCCCTCCTCCTATCTCATTCATTTTAATCAATTCTTTCCCCCTAATTTCATTTATTTTGTGTTAACATTTTTTTAAAGCATACAATTATCTTGAATATTTTCAAATCTCTGTCTTTGTCTCTCTCTCTCTCCTCCTTTTTTTTTTTTTTTTTT